TCCTGCTGCTGGTGCTGCTGTTGCTGGCGCTGCTACTGGTAATGCTGCCGGTGCCTTTGGTGCTTTTGGTGCCGCTGGAGCAGGTTAAGGGGAATAGCCGATAATTGTTCAGGGAAGAGACGATGTTCAGGCGAGTTGCCTTGGTCAGGGACGCGTGGCAGCATGCAGCGTGACAACGAGGGGGCATTCGTTACTTGGGGAAAAGGGGAACCCGACGGGCAGCTGGGCTTCGGGTCCTTCTTGGAGGCCATGGGCCTCGGGGCATTTTTGGAGGCCTCTTTAGGCTTCTTGGGGCTCTCTTGAGGCCCTCTTGGGGCGCTCTTGGGGCCCTCTTGGAGGCGTTGAGGGCACTCTTCAGGCGCTCAGGGCCGAGAAGAATGCAACACCATTCAACAGTTTCAGAAACAAGTAGCCTCTACGGGCATTGCTGGAGGCTCCTTTGGAGACCTCTCGGCTCTCGGGGGGGCTGCGATCTGCGAAGCTGTCGTCACTTTCGTGGGCTCCTGGGGGACCCAGCGGAATGGTGTGTTACGCACATCCAGAGTCATAGCGTTCATGGCTTGTGGCAAAGCGTCCATAGCGACGTTGCTTTTTCATCGTGATTATTCACCTGATGCTTTGCTTGACTTCTGGCGTTCATAGCGTTCATGGCAACTTTGCTTGATTATTCACCTGATGCTTTGGTTGAGTTCCCAATATCAAAGCCGGGTTTGCATTCTGGACATGCCGATAGCCATGTATACGTGTCTTCGTTCTCTTGCACGACGTGTTGATTGAGCTCTCCAAAGGACATATGAATTCGCATTCTTCACATGCAGAGGTTCACCGATACCGCCACCACCATCCCGTTCACCAACACCACCGCCCATAGTGAAACAGCGCGGGCAACAACGGAAGCGAAAAGGCAGGAATGCAACAATACATAGATTTTCCGGAAGTGCTCAAGCCATGATGGCCTCTTGGGGGGTCAATGGAGGGCTCGGAAGGCAATTGTAGACGCTTCGCGTAACCCCACCAGCCCATCCAGAAACGCCGTCCAGGCGAGTTGAGGTGATCAGGGAAGTGGCGGCATACAGAGAAACAAAGGGCGGGAGAAACCGTCGTACCCCAAGAGGTGGAGGATGGAGGAGGAATCGGAGGAGGTCTTCGGTTTCTTCGAACCGGGCCCTCCTGGGGTCTTCTTGGGGCCTTCTTGGGGACTTCTTGGGGACCAATTGGGAGGTGTTGGGGTCCTCTTGGGGCTCTTCTGGTAGGTTTCGGGCCTCTTTCCGTCCCGCGTCAGCATTTTCCAACGCGCCTGTGGCCCGCAAGGACCAAGACAACCCAAGAGGGCCTCAAGACGGTCCAAGAGGCGCCCAAGACAACCCAAGAGGGCCCCAAGATGGTCCCAAGAGGGGCCCAAGAGGGGGACCACGAACCGAAAAATCAAGCCTTCCGCCCCGAGAGGGCTCCAGGAGGCCACAAGAGGGCCCCAAGAGGCCTTCAGAAACCCCCAAAAGACCCCCAAGAGGCCCCAATAGACCCCCAAGAACCCCAAAAGAAGCCCCACAACGGCCCCCAAGAGGCTTCAAACCTTGATCCAAGAAGCCCCCGAGAGGTTTACCACGAGATCCTAACGAACATTCAAGAGGCCTGCGACCCACCACCCATGGTGTTGCTGCTTCTGATGGTGCTGCTGCTGCTTCTGATGGTGCTGCCGTCGGCGGCATATTCTAAGGTACCCGCTCCATAGAAAAAACAGACCGTCGTCCGTTTTGGGGCATGTGGGTGCTGGTGCTGGTACTGGACAACTTGGTGCTGGTGCTGTTGTTGGTGCTGGTGCTGGTGCTGCCAGTGCTGCTGCTACCTGTTGTTCCTATATGCTGCTGCTGCTGATGGTGATGTTGCTGGCGCTGCTGCTGTAGGGGCTGCTGCTGCTGCAGTTGCCGGTGTTGCTGCTTCTGCTGTTGGTGGTGGTACTGTTGTTGGTGATCTTTCGGGTGCCCTGACGGTGTTGCTGCTGACAGTGCTGCTGCTGGTGCTGCTGGTGCCGCTGCTGGTGGTGTTGCTGCTGCTGCTGGTGCTGCTGCTGCTGGTCCTGCTGCTGCTGCTGGTCCTGGTGCTGGTCGTGCTGCTGTTGGTGCTCCTGCTGCTTTTGTTGGTGCTGGTGCTGGTCCTGCCGCTGCTGCTGCTGGTGCTGCTGCTGGGGCTGCTGCCTCTGCTGCTGGTGCTGCTGATGGTGCTGGTGCTGCTGGTGCTGCTGCTGCTTCTGATGGTGCTGCTGATTGTGCTGGTGCTGCTGCTGGTGTGGGGCCCTTGAAGGTCCTGCTGCTACTGCTGCTGCTGCTGTTGATGGTGTCGGTGCTGCTGCTATTGTTGCTGATGGGCCCTCCTGGGGCCTTCTTGGGGACCAATTGGGAGGTGTTGGGGTCCTCTTGGGGCTCTTTTGGTAGGTTTCGGGCCTCTTTCCGTCCCGCGTCAGCATTTTCCAACGCGCCTGTGGCCCGCAAGGCTGGCGACATTGGCACGTGTGGCCCATGTTCCCATGGGTCGGACGAAACGCGGCACAGTTTACCGGATATTCCGTATAGTCATCATGTCCGGGGTAAACGGCGACGTTGATCGTTTCATCGTTCATGTTTGGAATGTCGGACGGCTTTGGTACATCACGGTATTGACGCTCCATACCATAGCATATATAATATATATAATATATATAATATATATAATATATATATATATATGATGTATTGACGCTTCGCGTATCTCAAGCAGCCCATCCAGAAAGGATGTCCATGAGAGCCGACGTGACAAGGGAGGAAGCAACACAATGAAACAGCGCGGGCCACATGGGTGACTTGAGAGATCTCTGGGAGCAACCTGCTGGTGCTGCTGCTGGTGTTTCTGTTGTCGTTGCTGCTGCTGGTATCGTTGATCTTGGTGCTGCTGCAGCTGGTACTAATATGTGATAGTGCTGCTGGTGCTGGTGCAGGTGCTGGTGGTGCTGCCACTGATGCTGCGGTTGCTGCTGATGATGTTGATGCTGCTCATGCTGCTGCTCGTGGTGGTGCTGGTGATGGCGGTGTTCCTGGTGCTGTTGATGGTGGTGGTGCTGCTGCTGCTGGTGATGCTGGTGTTGGGTCAGAACGGGGCGGTGAGCCAACTCGCCCCCACTAGAACTGAGGGCGCGCACCCCTTGAACCACTACGCTATTATCAGAGCCATGTCTTACCACCCTCATCCTCATTTTCTCCATAGCCGTTTTGGCTCAAAGGGAGGCTCTGCGGCCGCGGCCTCCCTGGAAGGCCGGGCCGCCAGGCTGCCCGGGCGCGCAGCTTCGAGCAGCTCCAGCTTGAACAGTTCTCTCTTCGAGCAGCTCCAGCTGCTTTGAACATGCCCCGTCACCCAGATGGAGCAGCTTCGAGCAGCGCCAGCTCGAACAGTTCTCTCTTCGAGAGCAGCAGGAGGGAGGAGGGGGACGACGCCAGCCTCGCGTCCCTGGCGGCACCAAGAAGTAAGGCGGCTGCTTCGCCGGAGGCACAGCCGCCACCAGAGGCCTCGACTGCAGCCGCTCCACCTGCGACACCGCCGGTCGCTCCAGCCACGACGCTGCCAGCAGCACCACAGAAGTGCATCGTGTCAAAGTGCGGCTTTGGCCTCTTTGCCACGGTGTGGAACGAATATCTCGGAGGCTGGACCTGCACTTGCCGCGGGCGCGGCCACGTCTTAGTTTGGGCCGAAGACCGCTGGCGCCGCGCAGGAACCTCAACAGCTCTAGGGCCCAGCGGGAGCTCCGGGCGCCAGCAGCAGGCGCAACGGGCGCAGTATCAGCCCCAGGCGCCAGCTGCACGCGCAGCAGGCGCAGCAGCAAGTCCTGGAGGAGCCCCGGGCCCAGCAGCAAGCGCCGCAGCAGGCGCAGCCACAGGCGCCAATGCAGGAGATCGCCAACGGCCCTGCGGACAGAACGACATGAGGAGGGTGGTGCCGACATCGTTGGTTGAATCCCTGGCGGACGCCAAGGCGGACGCCCGCGTGGCCGCGCAACAAGCGAGGCAGCTTAAGCAGGAGATCGCCACGAAGCAGTCTGCGGTCACCGACCTCGAGCAGAAGCTCGGCAAGCAGAAGGAGAAGGCGTCCACGGCGGTCGCCGCGATGAGGAACGCGCTGACGGATTCCACCAAGACGAAAGAGGAGCTCAAGCGGGCACAGCAGAGGCTCGCCGCGGAGCACGAGAGGGCGCAGAAGGTTCGGGCCGGACGAAGGGACGGGGCTGAGACACGGGGGGGGGGGGAGGTTACGACAAGTCCCGCATGCGATGCCGCTGGTTGCGGCCACGCCGCTGGGCATATTTCTCGATGCATGGTCGCTCCCAGCGCTGGACGAGTTGTTTCGCTACCCCCCCCCCCGCGCCATCCCACTTTCGTCCAGCCCGAAAGGCCGAGAACGACACGGCGGGGAATGCGAGGAAGGCCGCGCGCATAGAGCGCGTGAATGTCGAGCTGGCCCGAGCTCTGGGCGACGCCCAAGACAGGGTAAAGGAGCAGGAGCAGCACTTGCGCCAGGCGCAAGTCGACTGCGAGTTGCAAAAAGTGTGGGCGATGAAGCACGAGAAAGACGCCAACGAAGCGCGCCAGGAGATAGCCGCCGTCATGGACGAGAAGGCGCGGGCAGAGGCGACCGCCGTGGACGCTCAGAGGAGGATTCTGGAGCTAGAGAGCAAGCTGGCGCAGCAACAGCAGCAGCAGCAGCCGCCGCCGCCGCCGCAGCAGCAGCAGCCGCAGCCGCGGGCGGGCACCGACGACTGGGAGTCCCTGCTGGACGGCCTCGTGGAAGGGACAGCCGCCGAGGTAGGCGCGGCCGCAGAGGACGGCGCGGGAGAGAAGGCCGACGCCGGCATCGAGGAAGCCGCGGCCGCCGAGGAAGAGGAGACCGCCGAGGAAGGCGCGGCCGCCGAGGAAGAGGAGGCCGGCGAGGAAGGCGAGGCGAGGGAGCGAGGAGGGGAGGAGGAGAAGGCCGCCGAGGAAGGCGCGGCCGCAGACGAAGACGACGAGTACGCGCGGATTGCGAAGAAACGTTACAAGACGCCCGAGGAGAAGGAGTTCGTGTGGAACCGCAGGAAGGACGATTCCATCGCAGACAAGCAGGTGAAGTACGTGAATGGGGTGGCTGAGGAGTGGCTCGTCCAATGCCGACATTGCCGCGCCTGGGGCAAGCAGGTGGAGTGGTCCTTCCAGAACCATGACAACCACGTGAAGCTCCATTGCTCAGCTGCGAAGAGGCACAGACAGGGCGAGTCCACTGCGAAGGCGGGTTCCCTGGAGGCTTTCTTCGGGAGGCCGTGTAAGAAGATCAAGGTAGAGGCGGTTGATGCATCCCCGCTACCACCTTCATCAGAGAGCCCCACCGCTTCGCAGGTGCGCCCACCATGCGCCGGCGTCGCGCCCTGGGCGATCCTGGCCCAGGTGAAGGTAGACGCTGCTCTGCAGGCCGAGTTCGAAAGCTCTTGCAGCGCTGGCGGCGCTCCCGTTCTGGCGCAATTTTGGGACCTGCTGTCGTCCACGTGCGTCCAGTACTTCAAGGCTGCTGCGGTCAGCGACCAGCGGGAGGGCGGGTCGCGCTCCCTCAGGGCGATCAGGGGCTGCGGTGACCGCCCGGCGCTCTCGCGGGCGAGCGAAGTGAAGGGGCATCTATCCGATCCTCAGATGGCCCTCGTGCACGCCGAGCTCGTGGCGCCTTTTGTCTACACATGCGCCGCATGTTCAGGGCTGGAGCGCAGCATGATGAAGGAGCTCAAGGGCTGCCTCAAGAACATCATCTCGGGCCGCGTACTCTGCGAGTGCCTGGGCGGCATCGAAATGCACCACGAGAAGATTCACCGCGCCATCAAGCACATGCACCCGAAGAACGTCCCCATGATCACGGAGGGGCCCCTGTCCCGACTGCGGGCCATTTCTGCGGCAAAGCTGGACTACCTTCTGTTTAAGAGGGACGACGCGGCATTGCTGGGGTCAGCGGTCTCCAGCTCGGACGTTCAGATGCTGCGGAACCTGCGGACGCTCATACTCACGAACCAGGGGAAGGTGCAGCAGTCCGCGATCAAGGGCTCGTTGAAAGCCTACGTCTGCCGGTCCATGCGGTTCGCGCGTGGCAAGGGGTTGCAGAACATGCAGTACGAGGCTGCTTTTCGAAATTATGCGGTGGTCAAATGGATCGGCGGCGCCGCTGGCTACCAGTTCGACAGGGCGAATTTTTTTGATCTCGCCGCGCCGCACGAGCGCACGTGCCAGAGGGAGTACCAGGCAGCCCTGAAGGACGCCGGCACGTGCAATTTCCTGGACCATTCGCGCGCCAACCTGGTGTCGTCCATGCGCCGCATCCTCGTGGCCATCAAGGCGCGCGGCTGCAGCGACGCGGTCCTGGTCGCCGACGAATTGCACAACCTCGCCACGCTGCGATGGGACCCGTCGCTCCAGAAGTATCTGGGCCTGAGCAGAAAGCACGTGATGCTGGACGCCAAGGGCTTCGAGGCGGCGAGCGCCGAGAAGAGAATGCCAGCCCTGGCGACCAAGACAAAGTTCATCGGAGTAGTGGGGCTGGGGGACGCGCCGCTCTACGTCCTCTTGCAGCGGCCTGGCGACGCCGACTCGAAGGAAGAGTGCGACCTCAACATGTCCGTCGTGTCCGTCGCGGAGGAGGTCGCCGCGGAGGTCGGCGTCGGAGTGGTCGGGATGCTCTTCGACGGCATCTCGAAGGAGAAGGACACGGTCGTCTCCTTGTTCCTGGGCAACAGGATGCTCGGCGGTCTGGACCCGAAGCACCAGTTCAAGTGCTTGCGGACTTCGGGGAGAGAAAATGCACCCCCACCCCCCCCTGGCCCCCCTTCCTCCGCGTTGGGGCTGAGCCAGAGAGGTTCGAAACTGATTTGGGGGACGTCTCGCAAAATCCACCCAAAACGTATACCCCGCCCCGGCTTGCCCCCCCCCCCCGCCCCCTCTGCGGAGGGGGGGCGGGTGGGGGCGGGGGTGCCCGCGGGCTCCCTTAGGAGCGCTTGTGCGTTCGGGGGCACCGCGCCGCCCGCGGGCGGGTTCCTGGTGGTGAACATGGAGTGCTTCGACGCCCTGGGCGCGAGGCAGGACTGCGTGGTGATCAAGGACACCTTTAAAGCCGGACCCCCTTGAAAGATTCCACCGATCGCCAGGCCATAGCCCCGTCTCGCCCTCCAGAGATCTCCAGAGAATCCCTCTTGGGCGGCTCTGGCCTGGCGCGCTGTGGACTCTTTCGAGGTGGCGGCTCACCGACAGGATGCCTTCGCGGACTTTCGGGTCCGGGCCCTGGTGGACGCGCTGCCGCTGTTTGGCACGTTGATGAGCGATGCGGCGCTGGCTCGGCCTACGCACGAAGTGCTCGGAACGTTCTTCTTCTACCTCCAGGTCCTCTTCGGAATGGCTGCCAGTTCTTCCCCGGCGAATGCTCTGGACCGCAGGTCCCGCATCTACATGTCGTTCCACTCGCTCATTTTCTTGACGGGTTGGTCCCTCTGTTCGGTAACCAAGATGAACACGATTCTGTGCTTTGGCCCACTTGGCATGGTGCTAGCGCACGTTCATAGGATCTGGAGATGGGGCACGGGGATGCTCGAGCACATGTTCGGACAGTACCGCACGCGCGGCAACGGGGACCAGCTCTCCGTCCAGGCCCAGTTCCACCTCGCGCAGCGCTTGCAGATCTTCCACATGAAGGCGCACGAGGCTGGCTTCAAGGTGGGCAAGGAGGCGCAGACATACACTTCGACCTGGCAGTCCTACCGCGACGGGGAGCGCGGCGCGGTGGATCTCGGGCCCCCCGCAGATGAGGGCGAGGTGCTCTCGCTGTACAACAAGGCCGCTAAAGATGTGAAGATCATGTTCTTGAAGCTGGGGTGGCGGCAGGATGACCTCCCCCGCCTGTGCCAGGAGTTCCCCACGATGGTGGAGTTGCGGACCGTCCTTGAGAAGGTGCTGAAGGCCCCAGTGCAGGAGGCCGACAAGGCGAAGGTGGACGCGTGGCACCCCTCTGAGCAAGGCCGCCAGAGCAAGCTCGAGCAGTTCGCGAGCGTCTTCCACGATGCGTCGCGCGACCTCGTCAACGGCCATGGACCAGAGCACGCGGCCAGCACCTTCGTCGACGAGTTCGCGCAGGACCCGGACTGTTCTTCGGAGGACGAGGTGGGCAATGAGTTGCCCTCGGACGCCCACGAGGGACTGGAGCTCGTCGTGGACCGCATCAGCAACGCAGTGAGGAAGCCCGTCGGGCCGGCGCTGCTGCAAAGTTTCGCCAGCGTCGCCAAGGACCTCTGCGGCGCGCTCCCGAGGGAGAAGCACAAGGGGATCGCCAATCGCCGCACGATCATGGAGCGCTTGCAGCTCACGGTGCCACGAAGCTCTGATGGGGCGGCGCAGGCGTCCCTCGTCGATGTCGCGATCTACTCGCCCAAGGAGCGCTCCTTCGGTCGAGTCGTCCTTCCCTACCGGAGAACCAACCGGAATTTCTTGGTCGAGTTGCTGACCGATGTCTCGCACGGCAAACGGATGAAGGAGCTGCAACGCCGCTCGAACGTGGACGCGCGCATCACATACGAGCTCATCGACTTCTCTTCCTCGCACAAGCAGGGTGGCACGACAACTTGGGCGTTGGCGGCTCCCAGGAAGAAGGGCGCGGCGCGGGTGCTGTCCGAGGTGTCGTCCGATCTCTACTTCGTTCCTGGCGAGAACATGTTCCTGGTCAACATGTTCAGCGACTGGGGCAAGACCGACGGCGATTTGGTAGCTTTGCATGCCAACGTGCGCGAGTTCCTCGAGTCCGAGTGCGCCCTGGGCTTGGAGGAAAAAGCGCTGGCCGACGCGAGACGGAGCTCAGCGATCCTGCACGGATTGAGCGTCTTGTCGACGTACGCCCCCCGGGTGACGATGGCGATTTTCAGGTCGAGTGAATTGGCGCCCACCCTCCGCAAGCTGGGCAAGGCCGGCTCCGCTGACATTGCAGAGCTCGTGAAGAAGTTGGTCGGCGCGTATGCTGCGGCGAGGAAAGATCAGGATTGGCCAGCCACGGGCCGCGGGTGAGGGCGCGGCTCGGGGCGAGGGCTTCGGTTTAGGACACCGTTCCTCTTCGCGTCGTCTTTCGGCGCGAGCGTTGCCTAGTGCGATGGTGCACTGGACATGTGCAGGGCGATTTCGCGAGGAACGGTCGCGGCAGCATTGTATCGAAGTAATGTTGAGACCATGAGTGCCACACCCGCCTCCTCCTACTGCTCCCTCTCGGGTTCGTGCCTTCGTGCTGCTGCGCGGTGCTGTTGCAGTTATTATTTGCTCTCTCCGTCTTGGGATTGGCCAGCTTGGTCGCATCGTCGTCGCCGCCGCCGTCGTCGTCGCTTGTCGGATTGTACGTGTATGGTTGTTTGAGCTTCCACGGTGCAGAGTTGCGTTTCCCGTACGTTCCGATTCTCACGGTTACATATTGCGACGTTGGCTCATAGTTCAGTCCGGGCATTGCGCTGTATATCGTGCGTCAGCAGCACCGCCGATGCAATCGGGTTGCGGCATGGACAGCCACATGGTAATGCACAACGCTTCGCGAGCCCCGCCGATTTCACACTTAGCGACCACCCCACGGCGTCCACCCCCGTAGCGTCCACCCCCACACCGTCCACCCCCATGGCGTTGGTCCCCATAGCGTCCACCCCAAATAACGCTCACCCCATAGCGTCCGGCCCCGTTGCATCCAGTCCAACAGCGTCCATTAACACAACGTTGACCCCCATAGCGTCCACAACCATAGCGTTTACCCCCATAGCGGACACCCCCACAAAGCTGGCCCCCATAGCGTCAGCCCCAATAACGCCCACCCCATTGCGTCCGACCCATCGTGGTGGTGGTGGTGATCGTGGTCGTGGTCGTGGTGATGGTCGTGGTCGTGGCGGTCATGGTGGTGGTGGTCGTGGTGGTGGTGGTCGTGGTGGTGGCGGTCGTGGTGGTCGTGGTGGTCGCGGTGGTCGCGGTGGTCGTCGTGGTGGTCGTCGTGGTGGTCGTCGTGGTGGTCGTGGTGGTGGTCGTGGTGGTGGTCGTGGTGGTGGTCGTGGTGGTGGTCGTGGTTGGGGGTCGTGGTGGCGGTCGTGGTGGCGGTCGCGTCCGCCCGCACAGTGGTGGTCGTGGTGGTGGTGGTCGTGTTGGTGGTGGTGGTCGTGGTGGGGGTGGTGGTCGTCGTGCTGGTCGTCGTGGTGGTCGTGGTGGTGGTTGTTGTGATGGTGGTGGTCCTGGTGGTGGTGGTGGTCGTCGTCGTCGTGCTGGTCGTCGTGCTGGTCGTCGTGCTGGTGGTCGTGGTGGGGGTCGTGGTCGTGGTCGTGGTGGGAAAGTGGTGCTCGGATGTGCTCGGGGTTGTGGTGGTGGGGCTGGTGGTGGTCGTGGTCGTGGTCGTCTTGCTCGTGGTGGTCGTGTTGGTCGTGCTGGCGGAGGTCGTGGTGGTGAGGCTCGTGGTGGTGGTCGTGGTGGTGGCGGTCGTGGTGGTGGTCGTGGTGGTGGCGGTCGTGGTGGTGGTCGTGGTGGTCGTGGTGGTGGTGGTGGTGGTCGTGGTGAAGGCCGTGGTGGCGGTCGTGGTGGTGGTCGTGGTGGTGGTCGTGGTGGAGGTGGTGGTGGTCGTCGTGGCCGTCGTGGTCGTGGGGGTGATCGTGGTGGTGGTCGGGGTCGTGGTGGTGGTCGTTGGGGTGGTGGTGGTGGTCGTGGTGATGATCGTGGTGGTTGTGGTGGTCGTGGTGGTGGTTGTGGTGGTGGTCGTGGTGGTGGTCGTGGCGGTGGCCGTGGTCGTGGTGGTGGTCGCAGTGGGTCGACAGCGGCTCGGCCCCCGAGCCCGAGCCCGAGCCCGGGCCCGAGCCCGAGTCCGAGCCCGAGCCCGAGCCCGAGCCCGAGCCCGAGCGCGTGCCGAGCCCGAGCCCGAGCCAGAACCCGACCCCGATCCCGACCCCGACCCGAGCCCGAGCCCGAGCCCGAGCCACATGGTAATGCACAACGCTTCGCGAGCCCCGCCAACACATCCATCGCCGATTTCACACTTAGCGACCACCCCACGGCGTCCACCCCCGTAGCGTCCACCCCCACACCGTCCACCCCCATGGCGTTGGTCCCCGTAGCGTCCACCCCAAATAACGCTCACCCCATAGCGTCCGGCCCCGTTGCATCCAGTCCAACAGCGTTTATTAACACAACGTTGACCCCCATAGCGTGCACCACCATAGCGTTTACCCCATAGCGGACACCCCCACAAAGCTGGCCCCCATAGCGTCAGCCCCAATAACGCCCACCCCATTGCGTCCGACCCATCGTGGTGGTGGTGGTGATCGTGATCGTGGTCGTGGTCGTGGTGATGGTCGTGGTCGTGGCGGTCATGGTGGTCGTGGTGGTGGTGGTCGTGGTGGTGGCACGATTTATGTACAGAAAACCGAGAGCACTTCTCAAGATGACTCGAACAATACGAATGGGTTCGCGAACCTTGCTCGGGGAGAAGGCCGATTTCAGAGCTCTTGATGCAACAGACGAACGCGCCTGATAATTCTCAATCGATTTCTGTTAGTATGAGCTCTGTGGCTGCCCTATAGATCGAGTTAAGTACGAAAAACCGAGAGCGTCTGCTACAATGACTCGAATAATACGAATAGGTTTGCGACCCTAGCTCGGCTAGCAGACCGAGTTCAGACCTCTGGATTCAACAGGCGAACGCGCCTGATCATTCTGAACGCATTAGCTGTGCTGACCAGCTCTGTAGGTGTCCTGGAGCTCGAGTTATCTTGAGAAAACCGACAGTGCCTATCAAGATGACTCGAAACGGTCGTTCCCGCCCGTGTGCTTTTTGGCCTTCAAAGTTACCCGATCGAGCTGAGATCAAGATGGCGAGCGGGAATGTGGTGGTCGTGGTGGTCGCGGTGGTCGTCGTGGTGGTCGTCGTGGTGGTCGTCGTGGTGGTCGTCGTGGTGGTCGTGGTGGTGGTCGTGGTGGTGGTCGTGGTGGTGGTCGTGGTTGGGGGTCGTGATGGCGGTCGTGGTGGGGGTCGTGTCCAACCTCACAGTGGTGGTCGTGGTGGTGGTGGTCGTGTTGGTGGTGATGGTCGTGGTGGAGGTGGTGGTCGTCGTGCTGGTCGTCGTGGTGGTCGTGGTGGTGGTTGTTGTGATGGTGGTGGTCCTGGTGGTGGTGGTCGTCGTCGTCGTCGTCGTGCTGGTCGTCGTGGTGGGGGTCGTGGTCGTGGTGGGAAAGTGGTGCTCGGATGTGCTCGGGGTTGTGGTGCTGGGGGTGGTGGTGGGGCTGGTGGTGGTCGTGGTCGTGGTCGTCTTGCTCGTGGTGGTCGTGCTGGTGGAGGTCGTGGTGGTGAGGCTCGTGGTGGTGGTCGTGGTGGTGGCGGTCGTGGTGGTGGTCGTGGTGGTCGTGGTGGTGGTGGTCGTGGTGAAGGCCGTGGTGGTGGTCGTGGTGGAGGTGGTGGTGGTCGTCGTGGTCGTGGGGGTGGTCGTGGTGGTGGTCGTGGGGGTGGTGGTGGTGGTCGTGGTGGGGTCGTGGTTATGATCGTGGTGGTTGTGGTGGTCGTGGTGGTGGTCGTGGTGGTGGTCGTGGCGGTGGCCGTGGTCGTGGTGGTGGTCGCAGTGGGTCGACGTGGCCCAGCGCCTCGGCCCCCGAGCCTGAGCCCGGGCCCGAGCCCGAGCCCGAGTCCGAGCCCGAGCCCGAGCTCGAGCCCGAGCGCGAGCGCGTGCCGAGCCCGAACCCGAGTCCGAGCGCGAGCCCGAGCCCGAGCGCGAGCTCGAGCGCGTGCCGAGCCCGAACCCGACCCCGACCCTGACCCCGACCCGAGCCCGAGCGCGAGCCCGAGCCCGAGTCCGAGCGAGCCTGAGCCCGAGCTCGAGTCCGCGTCCCGAGCCCGAGCCTCGAGCCCGAGCCTGAGCCGGAGCCCCACGCCCCAGCCCGAGCCCCGAGCTCCGCGCCCTGAGTCCGAGCCTGAGCTTCGAGCCCACAGCCCCCCAAGTCCGAGCCCCCAGCCCGGGCTCGAATCCGAGCCCCCAGGTCCGAGCCCGAGCCCGCGCGCGAGTCCGAGCCCGAGCTCCGGGGAGCCGAGCCCGAAGGCCATAGCAAAATATTTTTTCTAATAATTTAAGAAAAAATATTTTTTCACAGAAAACGCACGCGGCCAGCCAAGATGTTATAGGAAATGAAGTTAAATGTTCTGCGTGCGAATCTGATGTGTATTCTACGTTCAGTTGTGCGTGTGAGCCAGTCGGCGCCTGTTTGCATAAGCGTGTGAATTCGAGTTTGTCATTTAAATGTTTTCGCGTCCTCTGTGTGCTCTCTGTGTTGTTGTGTCCTATTCTAAGCAATATTGGTTTGTAAAGGTATTGTGGCAATACTGACAGTGACGAACAGACGATTCGACAACAATAGTGTCTTTTATCTCGATATTGAGCCAAAGTGGTTACAGTTCACAGTTCTCTCGTGTCCTTGCTGCGCCGTACGTTCGTGCTTGCGCAAATGCTCTGTTGACCCGTTCTCGTGCTATAGTATTGCTAGCGGGGTGAAAATCATGCGAATCTCAATTGTGCACCCGCACGCAGCAATTTTTAACACCAAAACGCCGTAACGGCACATTTGAGCACGGAAACGCCGCAAACAACAAATTTGAGCACCGAAACGCTACAAACAGCAATTTAAGCACCGAGACGCCGCAGACAGCAAATTTGAGCACCGAAACGCCCCAAACGGGATATTAGAGCACGCAAGCGCTGCAAACAGCGAATATGACAACCGAAGTTCCGGAAACAACAAATTCGAACACCAAAATGCCGCAAACAACAAATTTGAGCAACAAAACGCCGCAAAGAACACATTTCAGCACCGAAACGCCGTAAACAGCATAAGCACCAAAACGGAACAATCTGCAAATGTGACAACAGAAACGCCACAAACAGCAAATTTTAGCACCAAAACGTTGCAAACGGCAAATTTGAGCACCGAAACGCCGCAGACGCCGACAAATGTAAGCACC